AGAAAGAAAGAAAGAAAGAAAGAAAGAAAGAAAGAAAGAAAGAAAGAGAGAAAGAAAGAAAGAACAGGGAAGGGAATGTCCTCGTTCTGAGAGGTATTACTTAATGACTTTGTTTAGTTAAAGCATAATCTATCACTTAGCCTGGGTGCAGGGTGATCATTATACATATGTCACTTTCAAGATAAAAATGAAAATTACATGGAGTTTTTTCATCTGAGATCACTCTTATTCTGGAGGGGAGCTCATGAATAATTAAAGAAGCTGCCAATTCTTCCTAGTAAGACAGAAATTCCTTCACATACTAAATTGAAAATCATACAAGTACATCAGACACCCTTCAAACAACAACTTGGTGTGCTTCCTAAATAATATGATTTATCTCAGAGATGAGAAGGAAAAAAGTTACCTGAAGAACATCACTTGAAATATCTTTTATGGGGCATCAAGATGTCTCCGTGGACCTGAAGGCATCTGTGCCCAGTGTAGACAACTGGAGCTCAAGCCCTGAGACTCACACGGTGGAAAAGTCTCCTACAGGTTGTCGTCCTCACACACACACAAATGTGATCAAATGTCTAAATACATTTTTTTAATAGTAGAAGCCAATGTTGAACACTGAAACAATTTAATAAGCAACACTTTGATGAACCTAACAGAAACAGTTATGATGGCTTGAAGGAGAATTTCCCCCATAGGTTCATCTATTTCAACAGTTAGTCCTCAGCTGCTGGCACAGTCTGGGGCAGCTCAGAAGATATGGCCTCTGTGAAGAAAGCATGCTGCCAGAGGTGGATTTGAGAGTCTAAAGACTTGGCACTCTCCAGTTCCCTTTTTATGGTACATGTTTGCCATTGAGGATGTGAGTTCTCAGCTTCCTGCTTCAGCCGCCATGCCACCTGCTGTCATTTTTTCCTGCCATGAAGGACTTGTATCCCTTTGGAACCATAAGCCCAAACAAATTCTGTCTGTAAGCTCCAGTGCTTTCTTACCAGGCCAGCGTCACCTGATATGGCCACAAGGAACCAGGCCAGTTGGAGGGGCCATGGCAAAATTGAAGCTGTGACAGTTTTACTGAGAACAATTTTATACTCTTATCAGAAGCAGAATACAATGTCAATTGCTAGGATCAAAACAGTTGTAGTTTCCAGGACACAAGTATACAGGATACGGAAAGATTAACGTCTACAACCAATTGTCCCATCAAGCATCCATGCTTCCTTGACAACTAAGGAAACAGCCAGAAAAACACAAAGAGGCCTGAACACTTCACTGCCAAGGGAGAACATCAGTCTCTCAGGGACTGAAAGGCATGTTGTGTGCCAGGAGCCATGGGCTCTTAGAACACTGCTATGAGGACCTATGCTCCAGCCTATGCTGCAGGTATCTCAAGGCAGCTTGGCCAGGCCAACCCCATGGTTCCCCGCAACCCCTTTTTTAATTTTCTAATTTTAGAATATGTAAGTCAATCTTTAAAGCATACATGGAATAGCCAATCAATCTCAAGGAGATAATGCTTTCCAAAAACAAAACTCTCAGACACATTTCTATGGACCATAGTTTAGAAATCTAATTAGAGATAGAGATTGAGAAATAACGACCAAAAATCTTTGCCAGGTTATGTGTAGCGATGGGAAGGGTAATTCATCTAATCTTGAATGCTGAATGGTAGTGTTTCATCACGCAAGGCCTGAACATTCTAGAAGATGCCTACTACATACAATTACCCTCCTCTGTTCCTCCACCTACCCTTGAAATCTCTCCCTCAGCTCATGCCTTCCTTTCTCACTCAGGTCCACGTGTCAGTCTGGTTCTGCTCTCTGTGCCTTTGACGCCCTTTTCAGAAAGTCCTTACCTGTGTGTAGGTCTTGAAATGTTTGCCTTATTTTCCTCCAGTCCTTCAGGATTTCTGGTATTATTTATAGTCTTTGATCCATTTTGGTCTTGCACAGCATAACAGGAATATGGCCATACTATTTAACACGTGGATATTTAGTTTTCCCAACACCAGATATTGAAAGGCATTCTTTTTCCCCAAATAAATGTTTTTGGCACCTTTTCAATGATTAGATACATGAGTTTTTATTTCTTGATCCTATATGCCAGTGATTCTTGACCTATAAGTTGTGACCCCTTTGAGGGTAGGGGTGGGGTTGAAGGACACTTTTACAGGGGTCACATATCAGATATTCTGCATATCAGATATTTACATCAGGATTCATAATAGTAAAAAAAAATTACAGTTATGAAGTAGCAAAGAAAATAATTTACGGTTGCGGGTCACCACGCTATGAAGACCTGTATTAAAGGGTCGCAACATTAGCAAGGCTGAGAACCACTGCCCTGTTCCACTCCACGGAGCTACCTACGAGTCTGCACTCTGTGGGAATCTTGCTGCTTTGGCTACTCTGACACGAGGACAGTTTAAGATCAGTACTTCAATGTCTCCACCAGTGCTATTTCTGCTGAGAACTACTTTGGCTATTGGGGTTGTAGCGGTTTATATATGCTTGGCCCAGGGAGTGGCACTATAGGGAAGTGTGACATTGTTGCAGTAGGTGTGGTCTTGTGGGTGTGGGCTTTAATACCCTAGACCTAGCTGCCTGGGAGCCAGTATTCTGCCAGCAGCCTTCAGATGAAGACATAGACTTCTCAGCAATTCCTACACCATGCCTGCCTGGATATTGACGTGTTCCCGACTTGATGATAATGGACTGAATCTCTGAACCTATAAACCAGCCCCAATTAAATGTTGTCTTTATAAGATATGCATTGGTCATGGTATCTGTTCACAGCAGTAAAACCCTAACTAAGACAAGGGTGTCTTCTGAGCTTTTATGAATTTAGGGCTTTTTCCCTACTTCTGTAAAGAGTGTCACTGGAATTTCCCTGAGGATTGTGTTGAATCTAAAGGTCAGCTTTGGTTTTTAAAAAGCCATTTTTTATAATATTAATTTTCTTTGAATCTTCTATTGTCTTTATTTCCTGGTTAGGTTTATTCCTAGGTTGGAGGGGTTGGGGTTTGTTGCTGTTTTTACTGTGGTTTGATTGTGTGAAGTATTTAAAATGAATTTTTTCCTAATTTCTTTCTTTGCTAGTCTATTATTAGGTTACATATTTCTAAAAGCTTCTGATTTGTTTTGTTTGTTTAGTTTGTTTGTTTGTTAGTTGTTAGTTGCTGCTGTTGAGACAGGGTTTTACATAGATCAAGATAGCCTGGAACTCTGCATGAGGATCACAGAGTGCTGGCATCACAGGCTCACGCCACCACACTCACGGCACCATGCTTCAGGCACATGGCACCGTGCCTTGCTAAAGCCACAAATGTCTGTCTGTCAATTTGTACCCTGCAGCATTGCTGAAAGTAGTTTTTGAATCTATGAGGTTTTTTGTGGTATCTGGATCTTTGGGGTGTAGTGTAGGTTCATGTTGTTTACAAGTAGGAATATTCTAACTTCTTTATTGTTTCTGGATTGTATCCTTTCTATTTTATTCTATGTCTTGTAGCTTCAGGTAAGACTTCAAGACTATTAAATAAGAGCAGAGTCCGGGACTTGATTTCATTTCCGATGATACAGAAAATGCTTTTGGCTTTTCTCCGTGCAGCATAACGCTGGCTTTAGGCTTGTCATAGGTTATCTTTATTACACTGAGGTACATTTCTTATGTTTCAAGGCTTCTATCATTCTGGGATGTTGAACTTTGTCAGAAGCCTTTTCTCAATCTAGTAAATGAACATGTGATTTCTGTCCTTAACCCTATTAATGTGCTATATCACCACTTCCTGATTTGCTGTTGTTAAACCACCTTGCATCTCCATAATAAAAAATAACTTGTTATGGTAAACAATCTTCTTCATGTGCGCTTGAATTTAGTTTGTACGTATCTGATTGAGGATTTCTGTTTGTCCAACAGAGCAACTGGCCTACACATTTTCGTTGTTGTTGTTGTTGTTGTTTTGCTGAGCCTTTATCTGGTTGAGCCTTTATCTGGTTTGATATATCAGGGTAATAATGCTGGTTTCGGAGAATAAGCTTGGTAGTGTTCCTTTGTAGGAAATAAACTGTAAGCAGTAAAGATGATTAAGAATATTATTTTCAAATGGTTCAGTGGTAAGAGCACAGGCTCCATCATCCAGGTCCATCACCACCATCCACACAGCAGTGAACAGCCATGGGCAGCTCCAGTTCAAAGGACTCTGATGCCCTCTGCTGGCCTCTGCAGGTACCAGGCACATACATGGTCCACAGACTTACACAAAGGCAAAACACCCATTCACATTTAAATTATTGTTATTGTTGTTGTTGTTATGTTTTTCGAGACAGGATTTCCCTGGGTAGCCCTGGCTATCCTGGAACTCACTCTGTAGACCAGGCTGGCCTCAAACTCAGAGATTCACATGCTTCTTCTGCCTTCCAAGTTCCCGGATTAAAGGTGTATACCATCACTGCCCAGCTTATAAAAATTAATGTTACATTAAAATCCCTAGAGTTTGTAATTTGTGTACAGGAACTATACTTGATAAATGAGTTATATGACAGCTAACATCTATTGTAGTAAAAGTTTATCCAGATAATTCTGTTTTGCTGCAAAGACCACTTCAACTCAGAGATTAT